GTCCTAGGAACAAAAAATATAGGATGATGCATACTTAATTGACATGCCTAACACTCTAGACTAGACATAGACGTTAACAAGGGATGAGGAGTATGAACATAAGGCTTGATATGTAATTCCCTAAGATTCACAGTAAGATTGTAATGCCTTTCACTCATTTCAAGACCTTATTAGAACGTAAGATGCAAATTGAAGGACCAAATGAGTCTTTAACCTCCACATGAAACAAACGAAAAATGGAAGTAAGTTTAAAATTATTTTTTCATTAGAAATAACTTAGTCATTTTACAACAATCATCAAGAAAGGAGACAAAAAAGCAAAGAAGACTAACATACATATAATGGACAGACCCTAAACATAAGTATGATCCAACTCAGAAGGACTAGTTTGACTATTATCAAAGTAGCGATGAGTAGATGCTTGCCTAATTGACATGCTTTGCATTATATAGTAGACACTGACTTAGAAGCTTGGAGGCATGTGATGGATTGATAAAATAAACTTCAATGAGGTATACACTGGACAATGGCTGTTATTGAGACGGACAAACATTTGTATATAAAGTAAAGGATTAGGAAACGGGACATCTATGTAGTAGAGAATGTTTTGAAGAATAGAAACATTTTTTGGTAAAGCAATAGGACTAGAAAGCGGGAATCTAAGCAGTAGAGAATGTTCGTCTTTTACTCTCCAGTCAAGGATCAAAATATCGTTTCGAAACATTCGAAACGTCTTAAACGTTTTCGTTTTCAAGGAGATTGAAACGAATCAGTGATGAAATTGAAATTCTAATATTTTGAGATGTATTATAATTTTTCAATGCATTTGTTTCAGAATGTTTCAAGGTATTTCTAGATATTTTAATATATTTAAATTAATATTTTAGAAAAATAATTCTTAAATTTTTTATTTTTTCATTATATTTCCGAAATTTGTCGAAACGTTTCCGAAACACATTGAAACATTTTTGTTTTCTAAGTGACTAAAATAATACACCAAAACAAAATTTTAATTATTGTCTCCAGCGATTGTCTTCTTTTGTCATAAGTCTTCAAAGACAAAAATATGGAAAAAAAAGTTACTGAATAGTTAAGAAATTTAGTGAGCTTACTAACAAATAAAAGTTTAGATTAAGGAACGTATCGTACTAAAAACAAACTCAACAAAGTGGTAAGATTAACAAATCCACTCCCTACTATAAAATTGGAATTACCATCAATAAGAACTATTGAATATTGGGGAGCATGCACATCTAAGGAATGAAACAACATATACTTACCTTACGAGTCCAGTGAGTAGACATGTTAATAACTCGAAACACAAGATTAGCTGACACCAACAAAAGAGCTTACCTAGATGAGCAAAGGTTTTGAAACGGTCGAAACATCCGAATTGTTTCTGTTTTCAAGGAGACCAAAACGAATCAGTGATGAAATTAAAATTCTAATATTTCGAAGTGTTCCATAATGTTTCGAAGTATTTGGTTATATTTCAATATATTTGTACAATTATTTTGGAATGTTCGAAGGTATTTTAAGATATTTTGGTATATTTCAACTAATGTTTTGAAAAAATAATTCTTAATTTTTTTTTTTTCATTTTGTGTTTGAAACGGATTGAAATGTTTTCGAAACACGTCGAAACGTTTTTGTTTTTTAGGTGATCGAAATAATGCACTGAAACGAAATTTTGATCTTTGGTAGTAATTGATGCAAAAGTTGTTGGATTACTCTTTGTACTATTGCATCGTACTCTCTTGAGAAAGCTTCACATTGTCAATTCAATTGCTTATTGACTCTGTAGGAACCAATGAGCACCATAATTAGGGTGCACACGCCAAGTATTCAGCTTTAACATAATCAAACAAAATAAATTCTCACAAAAAGCAAAGAACACAATAAGGAGGATAAAACTTAATATTTGGCCACAATTGCACCAACTATCCTGCACAGTCGAATGCAACACACTAACAAGAATGCAAATTGAATACACTATAAAAACTTAACAATCACTCTTAACAACAAACACAAATCATCTACCAAGCAGGCCTAAATATTAGGAAAGAACAATATAGCAAACCTTTAAGGGTGGTTCAGTGGCTGAACCGGGCTTTTTGTAATTCAGATGTCTCAAGTTCAAATATTCTTATACTCCCTAAGGGCCAGCTATCCTTGTTCCTCTAGGACATGTTCTAAATCTGCATGGGCTATGGTGGCTAGTATCCGAGCTCGAGTGAGTAATCGGTACAAGCCTGAGCCCTTGGACACCCTGTAACCAAAAAAAAAAAAAATAACTTATCAATATTGATTGTTAATTGAGAAGAGGACAAAAAGAAACAAATAAAATACATTTAATTTAATGGTGACTTTCTATTGAAAATTACTTCTGACATTTAAAGACATATTTGGGCTTGATTCTAAAAGTTCAAAAACCTTTGAGGTAAATTTTAGAATTTTAGAAAACGTGAGTGTAGCTTTAGAAATTTTGAAAACTTGAGTTGATTCTGAAATTTGAGAAATTGAAGGGTGGATTTGTTGAAAACAGTTAGATTTATCTGACAAGTTGAAAGGTCTTGGATCTAAGATTTGTATAGAAACAGATGGACAATTACCACTGAAGACGAAAACTACTGAAACCACCCTTCAACACAATGATATCAAGAAGCAAAAAACAATACAAGCAACAATCGAAGGTGACTAGTGTTGTGGCTAAGAAGTACGGACACATGCAGAGGATATAGATACAACACAATACGGATACGTAGACACAACATTTTTCAAAAAACATAGGACATTGAATATTGAAGATAAGCTTATTCATAAATATTTCAATACTTTCTGATAAGTAAATGTTATATCTGGTCATCTGGTGTGAATTTTTAGACTAAAGCATCATAAAAGTGATTAATCATTAATTTTTTTTGTAGAAGTGTACCAACATATATAATTTAAATAATTACTCTCATTTTATCAATTCCTTTTTTTGAACCTTTTATGCATGCTTTACTTTTATTATTTTTTGGGTACAACTTCAACATGCTAGTGTTGGTAATTATATGGTCTCTAATAGTATAAGATACTTATTAGTCTTTTAGGATTTGTTAATCATATGTCAAAAACATTTCAATTTTTTTGTACTAAATATGGTTTAAAGAAGTGTCGAACACGTCACCAAATAAGTTTTGGACATGTGTCCAAAATTAGAATTTTATCATTTAGTTATAAACACGGTTAAAAGAGTATGAAACACGTATCCAAGAGTAGTCAAGGAGTGTGGGTGTCCGACACGGATATGTCACCTTCTTGAGGGTGTCCGTGCTTCGTAGGTTGGGGTACACAATAAATCAAAGTGTTTGCAACCCCTAAAAATCTTAGTGTATGACATTTTTGTTATTGAAAAGAAAGGTTGAAATGCCATATGGATAGCTTCAAAGATGGTGACCGGTGTTGTGGTAAACAATAACTTGGGAAGGAGTTTGTTTTAAGACATTTCAAATAAAAATTGGGGGGGGGGGGTACGGGAGAGGGATTCCCTAGCTGTTGCTTGGATACTGTGTGAGAGCTTAAGGGATTTTATTCATGTTGTTTAAGCTCTTATGTTCTTCCCAAGGGTAGTGGAATTGTAGTGGTGTAGTATTGGAGTACACATCCAACTTTGTCGTGCTTGTAATTGAGGGGAAATTACAAAAATACTTGTTTGTGTGTTGGAATTAATAGCAGAATAAAGAATTGAAAACCTATTTCTAATTTGTCTACCTTTTTTTGAATACATTTATATGCGCACCACATAGTTTGTCTTTAATTGTTCTTCCTTGTAATTAGGCTTTAACTCAACCTTCAATTATGCACACGGTTACAAGAAATTACTCAACACAAGGGTTGTTTTTCGATGCAGATCACTTAGATTTTCGATCCCAAATTGTAACCTTAATTTCAAATGGATTCGCTTTCGGAACCCTTATCACAAATGCAAATAAATATTAATGTGCTGTATGTTTATAGATTTATAAACATGCAAGTTCAGATTATGAAAAGGTATCACAAAAGAGGGTGACCCAGTGCATGAGGCTCCCACCATTATGGGGTCCGGGAGGGTCAAATGTACGTAGCATTACCCACGTATGTGGAGAGACTATTCTCACGAGTTGAACCTTTGATGCTTAGGTCATTATGGAGAAAATCGATGACGAATGTAAAAATAATACTAATTGACTATGTACGTAGGGATGCATAATTATATATATTTTGGTATAGCACTGAAAGTGATCTATATAAGAGTTCCAAAACATATTATGACACAAAACACCATACCCAGTTTACCCCCATCACACCATGTACCTGGAAAGCTGTTGTAGCATGTATACGTATCCTTACAAAGTACCAAATCGACTCACAATCTGGGTAATATTGATTATGACTAATTTTGATAAGAGTCAAGTGAAATTGATATAGCACCAATAGACCGGATCTCTTGAGAACTCCACACACAAGCATGTTTGATTGATAATATTACCACGATGAATGGCTCCTTGTTGAGTCCTTATTATGACCCTTCTGCAAAGAATATGAGAAATAAATTAAACTACTAACTGTAAGATCCAAATATCCAAAATAGTTTAGAATACTAACTGTAAGAAATTAAACTACAAACTGCAAGATCCAAATATCCAAAATAGTTGCGGTAATTTGGCATGATATTGTCAAATTTTTAAAAGGGGGAAAAGAAGGCGCGATACATTAGATAGAATGAGTGGCAGAATACATTGAAGCTGAAGCCTTTTGAAAGAATTTCAAACCATTTATGAAATGTTTACCCAAACTTGGGTTGTGTTAGATGAATCTCTCTTCCCCAGTTGGTTCTTTCTAAAGCCATGTTGTTTGTCAAATCTAAGACACTTGTGTTTCTTTGAAAACTTCAACCTACATCCTCTGTATATCAGCTCAAGACAAGTCAAGTTTCTTAGCTAAAAAGTGATGTAAATATGAGATTGTTTCACTAGATGGTTGACATCCTGAGAGACCTGAACAAGTTATTTAACATACGAAAGTATGTTATGCTTTTTCCGGTGACGATGGGCAACTACGCTGCTGGCACTTTTGGTGGAATTTGTCCAGAATATTAACTAACTTGGAAGGCCTTGGAGACAGTTCTTTTTATCCTTTTGCCAAAATAGTGGGGTTCCGGCTGTTTAATGGAATGGCTTCATTTTAGGGTCCTATAAGGCGTGTCGAGATTCTTTCAAATCTTAATTGGTGAAATCGCAACACTAGTACATCCTCCAATTATCATTATTTAAAGGCGATTGAATATCATTAAGATTTAATTTTCGTGCTACATCAAATTGTTCTCATATTGAACTCATCAGGCAGATAATGGGTTACAATGATGGTTGTCTGAATGTCATCGAGCTGGTAACTTCTTCAGCTTCCTCAATGTAGTAAGTTCCATATCTATTGTACACAATGTTGCCTTTGTGAAATTGATTAATGTGAAACATTCATATGTTCTAATTTTGACATTGTATCTCCAAGAGTTTGATTTTCTTTGCTTTTAATTCTGGGTGATGTACTATTCTTCAAATCTGAATGCTTAGGGTAATGCCTCGAATCATGAGAAAACTGACTTAACTCCCTTAGCATTTTCATCAATATTTCTTCAGTTTGTTGTTAATAATCTGACAAGTTTTGATTATTTTCAGTTAAGGACATTGAACTTGATCTTGATGCTCAGGCAGAAGACTGCTACATTGCAATGGAGGCTCTGTGTGAGGTCTGTTGCTTCCTTTTTTCTTTTTTTGATATTATGTTTCTAGTTTAATTTGAAATTTTATGTAAGCTAATACCTCCATTTTTGTTGATCTAATTTTTTATCATATTACTTGCAGGTTTTGCATTCTGTGCAACCTCTTATTGTCTATTTTCCAAACTTTTCCCTATGGTTGTCAAGGGCTGTTTCCAAGTCAAATAGTGAAGAGTTTGTCCGTAAGGTGGAGGAAATGTTTGACCAGTTGCCGGGACCTGTTTTGTTGATTTGTGGACAAAATAAAGTTGAAACTGGGTCAAAGGAGAAAGAAAAATTGGTGAGTTTATGTTTAGCACCATATTTTTGTGCCCGTGGTGATCTGTGTGTGTGAGATTTGCCAGTAACATTGTTTTCTATGTTTTAACAGACGATGATAATCCCAAATTTGGGCCGCCTTGCGAAGTTGGTAATATTCGCGACCTTTCAATTAATTATGTCTTGATCATAACATTGAACATCCTCATTTAGCTTTAGTTTTGCAGATTAATTGCTTTATTTGCTTGCTTTATGATGTCTTGTTTGTTCTATAGTAATATCTCTTTTGTGTACTTGATGGCGCAGCCATTGGTTGGTTGGACCAATACAATCGACCTTGGAAGCCTTAGTGAAAGATTAGGAATTTTTTGTCCAAAAGGAAGTGTAATTGATAGTTTTATTATTATTATTTGGTTTATGAGTATTTGTTTGACTAGGAGTATTAATTAGAGTTTAAATAGGATAGAAATTTAAGAGTTTGATTATAAAACTCTTTTAGTATTTTAGTTGGAAAGTAGTTTTTTTATTTTAGTAGGGGACTTGGCCTATAAATAATGGTGTAATCCCAACCAAGGATCAAAATATCTTTTCGAAACAGTCGAAACGTTTGAAACGTTTCCGTTTCCAAGGAGACCGAAACGAAACTGTGATGGAATCGAAATTCTGATATTTTGAGGTATTCCATAATGTTTTTAAATGTATTATAATATTTCAATGCATTTTGGGAATGTTTCAAAATATTTCAAGATACTTTGATATATATCCATCAATGTTTTAGAAAAATAATTCTTAAATTTGTTATTTTTTTATTATGTTTTTAAAACGTGTCGAAACGTTTTTGTTTCCTAGGTGACCGAAACAATACACCGAAACGATATTTTGATCCTTGATCCCAACTATTTTGATTAGAGTGAGTAATATAATAAAAAATGGTTCTTTATGGAGAATTTATGTGTTTCTTCACCGATTCCTTGTGAGGATGAGGTAAACCCCTTCCACCCTTTATTATTTCTTCTTCTCTTTCTATTATCTGATTTCTAGTCTTTCCCGATCTACATCAGTACTTCTAAGCTTGTGTACTCGTTATTGTACCCATGCCAAAACTTGAATGTGCGGTGCCTACTAACAAATACACGAATGTGATGAAAAGCTTTAAATTTGCCTTAAATGCATTGCAATTTGGATAACCTAGGTGACTGATCTGACAGTCTCCTACTTGCTTAGATACAAAATTAATTTAGGGCAGGACTTAAAGAAATGAGAATATTGTTTCCTCTTATTGGATTTGTTGCATCTAGGTTTTTGTAGATTTTGTAAACTTAGGCTTTACCTGTGTGAAAATAAGTCTTAAGAACTTTGCAGTAATGAGATACTAAAATTGCAGAAAATACGTTTGCTGGAATTTCTACCTAGAAACTCATTAGGAATTGAAATATAAAAGTTTAAACTAAAGCAATGGAAGGTAGAGGAATAGTAAGGACAATGGAATTAGTTTTTTTTTGGGAATAATGGTAGAAGGATTGGATATTTATTGACTAGTAAATAAGTCGATGGTGCAAACCAAAGGGGAAAAGGAGGGGGGGGGAGGCTTATGTGGCCGTGACTCATACATGCAGAAATTTCAATGAATTGATGCGGAAGAGAATAGCAATTGAATTAGTTTATATAAAATTAAGTGCTAGAAGATTCATATCAATACTCTAACAACAAGGATCAAAATTTCGATTCGGTTCATTGTTTCAATCACCAAAGAAATAGAAATGTTTCGACCCGTTTCAAATATGTTTCAACCTATTTTGAAAATAGAATGTAAACGAATTAAAAAATTAAGAATTATATTTTTAAAATATTGATCAAAATATAGCATCTTAAAACATCTTGAAACATTCCGAAACAATTGTGTAAATGTGGTGAAACATTATGAGGCACTTTGACGCATTATGAAGTATCTCGAAATATTAGAATTTCGATTCCATCACTAATTCTTTTTGATCTCCTTGGAAACGAAAACGTTTTGGTTGTTTTGACCGTGTCGAAACAAAATTTTAATCCTTGTCAAATAATAATCCAACATAAAACAATGGCTACAATCAATGTTATTTCACAATGATGAAGTATTATGCTCATATTTTGAAAGGAACCCTAATTGTGGAACTTTTCTGAACCGAATTGAAGCAGCAATAGAGAAAAAGTGCAGCCTTGTCCTAGCCTCACTTGTATATAGCTGTTGTGTGATAGAGGCATTCTGGCTCCAAATCTTGCACCTTTGCTGGTTTCATATATTATTCTGGCCCTGCCCACATGTGCGGATAGAGCATGCTAGTGGATTCTGCAACTATGATGCGCGTAGTGCTGCAACATAGGGATCAGTTAGGCACTGTGGGTTTACTACTCAAAATCCAAGTCTCTAAATCTTGAAAATCTTAACAGGTTTAGGGGTTGTAGCTCTTTGCAGGAATCCTCTTAAACTCTTCAAAACCTGCTGGAAAAGAGATTGACCAATTCTACCTATACTAGAGTCCAATAGTTTGCCCATAAATCACCAAAGCACTATGTAAGTCAATAACTATCCAAACATGTAACCTTTGTTACAAAAATGAAAAATACCCCAAAAGCCCCCACTTAAGTTAAGGTGGGTCAAATAGGATTAAAATTTGAAATGACATAAATACCTTTTACCTGATTTTTTTTTCAACCAACTAAATTCACACATACTTATTACTATGTGTACATATACACACACAATTTGCATCATTCTCCCCTATTAGAAAGAAGTCGCCCAAGCCTGAGTTGCCATTTTTGATATTCCACTTGTTGGATGATTAATACTCCTGGCTTACTATCCCATATGACAAGAAATCATTAGTAGGCATCAAACGTGGTGTCCCATATCACAATTTTAACCCTATTTTTTCTCATTTGTGAAGGTCTGATTGGATGTTTCACTTGTATCACTTTCAGTCTTATCCTTCAAACCACCTTTAGAATGATGGATTTTTGCCACATTGAAGGTAGTTGGTATGCTTGGGCGAAGGGGGAGTTCACGTTTATGATTTTGCATGGACCACTTCTTTCTTCTAGTTTTTATGAGTATTGCTGAAAATTAATGATCTAATCTCCCTCTTGGTACTTTTTGAACTTGCGATTGTGAGCATTGGTCCATATTTTCGAACTTCTTTTGGACCTTTTCTTCAACCCCTTTCGGATTTTCTATATAGGAGTAGCATTGTCATTGGATCAGGGTTGGGCAATTCATAGTGTTTTAACGAGCAAATTTGTCTTATGGTTGTAGTTATTCTTTTCAAAAAACATGCGTGCTCGCTTTGCTCCACAAAGTCATTTAAAACGGGAAATGAAGATTAACTCTCTTTTCTATTGCTTTCATCATCCAACATAGTTTCAACTCAAGTATCTTGTTTTAATCACCATTTTTCGCAATGAGTGAATAAATGTTCAAAGTACAATCTTGTAATGTACCTAAGAAATTGAAATGTTTCCAAATCCATATAAACCGAAATGCAATAGTGATGTTGAAATTTCAATCTTTCAAGGTATTTCAGAATGTTTGAGATGTTTCTAGATATGTTTTGGAACCAAATTTCTAGGATTTTTTTTGTTTGTGAAAGTTTTTAGAAATTTTTCCATTCCTGAACTTCCTGTGACTATGTATCGAAATAAAATTTTGATTCTTAATATCATTTTACCAAGAACTTCTTGTTAAAATTTAACACGCATCAATAGTAACCACATCACAATACATAGAATTTTTACAAGAACCAATTCTCTCACTCTCTTTCTTGAACCACAGAATGCGATATTGTTTCAGACTCCTTTCGGTTTTGAGCTCCAACTTGTCTATCATTGTCAATGATTAAAATTTTGTTTCAATGCATTGTTTCTATCACTTAGGAAATGGAGCCGTTTCAAAAATTTTTCGAATTTTTTTTGGAAATGGAATGGAAATGAAGAAAAAATTTATTTATGAATCACCACGAGGCATTAGTTGAATTATACCAAAATATGTCAAAACACTTTTGGTACACCTCTCAAACAGTCTGGAACACCTCGAAACATAGGGACTTTGATATTCAATCACTGAATATTTCGGTTTTTATGAAATGAAAACGTTTCGACCTTTTCAAAATGACATTCTAATCCTTGATCATTGCTTGAGCAACCCAACTTTCAATACTTTCATCATTAATAATCAAGTTGCAAAGTAATGCCTTGGTTTAAAACTTTTTCGACAAAGATTCTTGTGAAGCCAATCATCAGTGTTGTTTACTGCAGGTGCAAGCAGTGAATGTCGACTGACAAGTTCTTGCCAACTACATTGTTTTCAATTCCCTCACTAGAAGTATCACTTTCTCCACCAGACAAGTGATTAAATTTATTTTCAACCTCCTTAACATAACATGGTCAGATTAATGATTGCTCCCATTCGCCCGATTATGGTTGATTAGTTACTCTTATAATCTGCTGTGTAACTGCAGGATTCTTTGTTTTGCTTATAACTTGTTAAACATGTCAGTAGTCATATATCTGCCCCTATGACCATGATTTTCTTGTCCAGCTGTTGCACATCTTGCAGCCATATTTTTATGCCACTGATATACTCAAATCACAAAACAAGAAGCAGCCCAATAAAAGAGCTTGGTCAGACACCAATTTGATGCAAACAGCAGAGGGCTTATGTCATTAACATTCGACTGAGCTAGAATTCTATAACAAATGATGTGAATAAGCGCAACAATTGAAGGATTTTACCGAAAAGAAGTGCTAGAAGCTTCAGAACAATAATTATATAACAACAATTCAACAGAGAACAACTGGTATGATCCATGTTACAAGGATGAAGTATTGTGGTCACTCTTGAAAGGAAATCTAAAACTGAAGTTTTGCTAAACCAACTTGAAGCATAAATTAAGGAAAACTGTAGCCTTTGGCTAGCTTCGCGTTTACATTTTTTGCGACTGAGGGATCGGTAGGCACTGCGGGGTCAAATCCTCAAAACCATACCCTCCAAATCTTGCACACTAGCTGTAAATAGAGAAAAATAACGGTTTTTTTCTGGCCTCCTGTTTGTACTACTGTAAGCGGGTGCATAGGTGCAGTGGGATTGGATCCTCGAAACCTATATTGCTGGAAAAGAGACTAACCACTTCCATTTATAATACCCCTTAGTTC